TATTGCACGGCTGCCGGTGTCATGAGTTTTGTGTACTTGACCTCTGCATTACTACGCGATAAGCAGGTATCTCTCACACAAGCGATGGGAAGTGCACAGAATTTTGAGATCTGAAATATCATATCATTTGAACTTTACGTTTTTACGAATCTCACACGCGGCCTCTGACGCGCTCATCCTGATACACCCCTCTTCATAGAGATAGACGTGTCGATGGTGGTGCTCACGCATCACATCATAGTACTCTCTTGAAGGACCGCACGTCACGACCAGAAATAGTCTAGTCTCTCATGCTCTCTCCCCGTGTCTCAGCGATAAATGATATTTATTATATAACGATCATTTCTATATATAGCGATATAATCCTGAGTATCTTCAACTACGTGGAAATCTTCGCTATGTTTTTCCGTCGATACTACGCGTAGTAACATACTCTAATATATATCAACTGAGATTTCTGCCGGTTTGTCCATGCTTGTGTAGAACGTTGTGCTATCACGTAGCTCTCTCACTCCCGCTCGCGATATGGTTATCGTCTGAGTGATAGCTGTGTGTAAACACAATATCTTCTTTCAGAAACTCGAACCGTGCCCAGGCACTCTCGATCCTTCCTTAATACGACGTATGAGAGTGAGAACATGCTTCTATGGATCTCGTGCAGCTGGGCGAGAATATCTGGCAAAACATCGGCAATCCGCCATCATCCCGCCTAGCCGTAGCTGGTGCTGCGTGGTTCTCGTTAATGCTCTCTCGCTGTATATCACTATAATGTCGTCCAATCCCCTCAAAAGAAAGAGTCCTTATATAATGATGGCCACTCTCCGCAGACTGCAAGTGAGATCAGCTTGATATATAGCGCTTGTAGATTAAAGGCACACCATCGGAAATTCAAGCGAACAATATGCATATATGACTCTCTGACAAACTCGTGTAGCTATAGTCTTCGTAAAATTGAGTATAAGGGATGCTCCTCTCTCCTAAGGTGATGTTACAGTATTATTAAGAATAATATAATCATTGCCAAATTATATATCTGTCCTTTAGTTAACTTATTTATCAGCAAATAAGTGATAACTCATAGTGTGTGTGCCGTAAAGATCCTACATCCTTCTTATATAGTTGTGATATGGACAAGCCTTTTGAACTGGGGATTCATTAGACTCCTACTTCTTAGTTTTTGATTTATTCTAGGGTTATATCTATGAGCTTTATGTTAATTATACGGTGAATTTATTTCATTCGTTTTCTTTCCCACTCGGTTCACACACGTCAAAACGCATACTGACTTAAGAAGATAGCAAGAAGAGCGTATCTCATATAGAATAAAAAGCAAGTATATTAACATATATATATTGGGCTTCTCTATCGCTCTCTCTACAAACCACGGAGCTGCTATCAATCCACTTGTCCTCACGCGATACTCGGTCCATACTGATACTTCTCCTGGGTGCGCTCGAATATAGACCATAGACTGCTACATATCTCAGTGCGATTCACCCTCTTTAATCTGTCAGTCGATACTTACATGATAACTTTCAAGTATGATCTATTACCCACGTTTAGTACCCTTGTGAGTAACCACTCGGGTATCTCTTTCGCTCGTTCTCTATCTATCTTGTCAAATACCGTCTCTCGTGTGTGTTATATATACTAATGGCGCTCGCGTCTGCTCAACGCTCATACTCTCTACCATGATCACTCGCTGACACGTGTATCCAGGCTCGAAATAAGATACTAGATACTCATATATGACGTTCTAATATTTAGTGACATACCGACAATTTATAATAGAGATAATATATAGAGATGAGTGAGTGGTATTAATTTGGGTTCCAGTCCTACCTCTAATATTCTCTCTCACTAAGATCTCGCGATTCTGCCAGTCATTTTCAGCCAGTTCCATATAGTCCCATTCAACTGCGTCTCCCATTTCCTCCAGTGTGGTAAATCTTGTAGTCTTCCAGTGCTTTCGAATGAGAATTCTCTGCATTTCTGTAGTTGCAATACATAAACAAAGGTTCTTCAATCCTTTTTTGAACACCTTCCGCCAGTCCCACCATAGCCGCCACAGAAGGAAGCCTCCGGTTTCTTAGGAAAAGGTTATATTCTAAATACCTTTTTAATTTCATTATAAATCATTTCCCAGAAGCCTTCACTTCTTTGGGCAAGTTCCACCAGAGGTGAACAGAATTGTCCCTTCTCGCCTCTTGACATTTCCCCAAACATTTATTATCAAACAGGTGATATAAATCTTAGCTAACCTTACCTGGGTCATGTACCAACCGTATACACCATATTCTCACTATACATGTTTTTCTTTCAGAAGCACTACATCGTCCGAACTTCATATTCTCGGTGTTCCATAACCTTTCCTCCAGTCTTCTGACATATAATGACTATATCCAACATCCTTCACACATCCTTTATTCATCATTCACACTACTTATAACTATCTCATCTATGTGTTCATACATTTAAGCAAACAAAGTTATACATTCTCGACAAATACCTTACACAGTTAACTTTTGTTCCTAACATTCCGTCTCCAAATTTCGATTTTTCCACCTGGAAACCAACTCTTTTTTATCCATTTTAAAAAACCTCTTGAATATTGAAGCATCAGTTGTAACCAATCTCGCACCTTACTTGCTTTAATTTTCCTGGCTCTTGCAACATATCCAATTAATCCTCTCCAGTTCTTTCAATTATTTTCCCAATAATATTTTGGCCAATGGGCCCCTCCATATTGGGTCTTTTTTCGCAGCCTTGCCCTCATCGTGATAAGCCCCACCTCGGATACTTACAACTTCTAATAGTTCTTTTGTATTTCATCCAGACGCGCAAAACAATTGCTTTTCTGACAAATATGGTTACTTATTAAAACAATTTTATGCTCTTCTCACCCTTTCGCCTCCCCCTCCATACCACAAATATGCATTGCCAACCAAATAACTTGTCAAAACCCTTCCAGATCCAGGACATCAGTGTTTTCCAGCAGGAACAATCTTTCAACCAGCAGAAGGCTGCAGCTTCATAGTACAACCTCCAAGTCCGGCAGCAACCCCCCTCTTTCTTTCGAGTCAGTTAAATTTTTAAATTTTATTCGGGGCTTTTTGCCCTGCCAGACAAACCTAGATATATCCTTCTGCCATTTTCCAAAACATTTCCACTCTGTCCACGATCTGTAGGGTTTGGAACAAAAATAACATTTTCGGCAATACATTCACTCTTATAGCTGCGATTCGGCCCGACAAGGTAGAGTTCAATCTTGACCAAATTTCACAAATCCTTTTTGATTTCCTCCAACATTTTTTCATAATTGTCTTTAAATATCAATTAATTAACAATACCCCTAATATCTTCACTTTTTTAACCACAATTAATTCTGTTTCTTTCTGCTACCCATCTGTTTCTGTAGTGTCAAATTTTATCCAAAACCTTAAGTTTTCTGCTTGTTCAGCTTAAATCCGCCACCCGCACCAAAACTCAGATAATATTCTATAAAACTCTTTTTGTACTAGATTCTGGCTCCTGTAATGTTTAAAACTAGGTCATCTGCAAAGCTTTCAGTTGTATTGTTTCACTCCGACCTCTACTCCTTGTACCTGCCGGTCCTCCCTAATCATGTCAGCAACACCTCCAGGACCGAAATAAATAAAGAGGAGATAGGGGCACCCCTGTCGTGTCCCTTTTTCAATTTTAAATTTCCTCCGTCACCACATTGTTCACTATCAGTTTAGCTTTTTGCTCTGAGTAAATTGCTTCTATTCCATTTCAAACCCCGTCCCACTCCCATCCCTTCCAAATTTTTCTTCATAAACATCCAGAAATGTTGTCAAATGCTTTCTCTGCATCAATGAAAATTAACCCGCCCTTGTATTCCTCTTAATTTGCAAAAACGCTCCAAAATGTCATAATATTCCTGGTGTTATCACACATATGTCTACCAGGGAGAAAGCCTGCTTGGTCTTTATGAATTACTTCATTAAGTACTCCTTTAAGTCTGCTTGCCAAATGTCTGCAATATTTTGTAATCCACATTTAGGATTGAGATGGACGGTTCTTAAGTTGAGTCTTTTCAGATTCCAGCTTAGGTATTTCAATGTGATGAATGCTTCTTTCCACGTCCGGTGCCCTCTTCCCCTCCATAATCTGGTTGCAAAACCTCCATCAAAGTTTGTGTCAAGTAATCCTTCAAAGTCTTATAATATTTGGAGGTAAGTCCATCGGGCCTGGGATAAGATTCCTAGTTGCATTTTCTGGATGGCACCTTCAATTTCCTGTGGTTATTTTGCAATTCAAGTTGATCTTTTATCCTGAGATACTTTTGATAATCCATTAGTTTTAAAAATTGGTCTATCTCGAACTCTTTCTGTGGCCCCTGTGCATAAAGTTCTTATAAAGTACTCTCTCTTCCTAATTTCTTCTGCTCGTTTCTGAACAATTCTCCCTTCCAATCTCTAGATTTGTAACCGTATTTAATTTTTGTCTCTTTTTCAGCTGCTGCTAGCAGCTTTCCACATTTATTTGCTGCATTCAACGATCTTTTCTTCTGCTTAATTTTCCATTCAAATATCTTGATTTAATCTTTCGAGTATTGTGCTTGATGGAATTTGATTTCTCTCTCAGCACCTCCTTTGACTATTGGTTTAGTTCTCAATTTTTTCTTCCTTCACTTATTTCTCCAAGATTTTCTCTCTTTTTTCCATTCCAGAGTTTCTTCTTAATTGTATTTTGTTGTATCAAAACCCTCTCATAACTGCTTTACTGCATCCCAGATCATTGTTCTTTTTCTAACCGTAGTTTTCAAATTATTTCAAAGTAATCCTTTAAACGTTTTTGGACCTTCTTCACAATCTCTTGATCTCTTAGTAAGGGTGTCATTCATTCTCCATCTGAAGGATCCGGTTGGAGTAAGTCTCAGTTCCATTTTCAAAGCGTTATGTCGAGCAGGTTTTGGGCAGATTTCACCTTTCTAGTCTTAGGTGCCAGCCCTCTAGATGTCCATATTTTGGTCGATTCGTGTCCATGACAGGTGGGCCTCAGAAAGAAAGTTCCTTCTTTACCTAGGGGGTTCTTTGTCCTCCATATATCAATCAAGTCCATATTGTCAGTCAGTTCGAAAAAGGTTTAGGCAGTCTGCCGTCTGTTGTTATGTTTGATTTTGAGATTTGTCCATATTTGTTGATACCACCCCATTCATGTCTCCCATCATAATGATGTTAGAATAGTCCAAATAGTCCAGCATGGTCTCATGCAGCTTCTTGAAAAATTCTGATTTCCCGTCATTTGGTGCGTAAATTCCTAATATCAAAAATTTTTCTCCTTGTTTTGAATTTCGATCGCCAATATTCTTCCTTGTTCACCTTGAACAGAAATTTTGGTGACAGGTTCTCCTTGGCATATATCACCACTCCTCTTTCTTTACCTTGTCCGAAGAAATAAATTCTTGGCCTAGTCTTTTATTAATTAACACTTTCTGTGGAGCCAGTCACGTGTGTTTCTTGTAAGCAAATAATACCCGTTCTTATCCGAAATATCCTCCTTCTTTTTTCCGGGAATTTCGCCATTTATATTCCAACTGAATAGCTGCAGAGACATCCTGTTCTAGTTGTTTGGTCCTAAAGTGGGGTGTCTTCTTTTTCCTCTGATCCCGAGGGTGTGGGCGTTGGTCCGCCACCAGGCGTGTTGGTCTAGCTGATGGTCGTGGCCAAGCTGCTTCTGCTCCTTTGGAGATCTTCTCCATGGTCGTGCAGGAACTTTGCTGGTCCTCTGTTGTTCTAATTTTAACCTTCTTTTCTTTGTAGGTAAAAGATAGTCCTTGTGGAACTCCCACCTGTAAGGAATTGCGTTGTGTCCTCAACATACTTTGCTAGCTCGGTATAGGTGGATCTAAGGTCCCAATAATTGTTTCGGTATGTCTCTGTAAATTTCCACCCTTTTGCCTTGTATTCAATTGATTTTTTGAAGTGAAGGCCTAATATCTTGTCTCTCTCTTCCCTTGATCTCAGAATTATCAAACAGTCTCTGGATCTGTCCTTCCTAACCAATCTTCCCAGTCTGAAAGCCGATACAATTTTAAAATCAGTGTCTCCTTAATGCCCAGAACCTGGAGAATTCTGTTGTCAGATAACCGATCAAATCTCCTTGTTCAAGTTCTGGATGGCCCTAAGTCTGAGATTGTTTCTCCCGGTTTTTCAGTTCCACCATTGACAGATAGGCTTGTTGTTCCCCTACCTGTTTGTGCAGAGGCCTGACTTCTCCTTTAATCTCTTCGACCTCCTTCTTCACTAACTCTGCTTTTTCAATCGCTTCCCCAGCTAATTTCCGATTTCAGCTGTGGCTCCTTGCAAATTTTCAATTGCTTGTGTGTGCTGGAAAACCTGGTCAGTCAATTTCTGGATCGATGATGTAGCTTGGTCAATTTTTAGTGATTGGTTGTCCACCTTTTGATTTAAAGTTGACAATTGTTCCAAGATTTGTTTCAGAACTGCTTCAGATCCTCCTGTTGCCATATCTTCTACTCCAGGCTTCTCAGATTTTTCAGCTTCCACCTTCTGTGCTACCAGCACAGCTGGGACCGATGATCTACGCCCTTGCGTCAGGGTTGTTTGTACAAGTTGAGCAGGTTTTTTTTCTTTTTCTTTTTTCCTTAGCTTCCTTAGCTTTAGCTGCTCTTGTTTTCCCTGCTCCACTCATTTACACATCTGTCAATGTTCAAGGTCAGATTGTCTATTGTCCCATGGGAAAGGCAGATCCAGTTTTAAAAACAATCCATAGAGAGAAAGTCAAAAATATAAAGCAGTTCCCAGGCCTTTATAATTCCCAAAGTCCTCTAGGGGAGTGCCACCAAAATTCAAAGGCAAGAAGGAGCTTTTTCCCGCCATTAAAGTCCCTATTTTATCCCAGTTTAAAAACACAGTAGTCCCACAGCAATAAAAAGTCTTCCAGAGCTCTTTTAAAATTAACAAAGTTTCAAGGAAGGTGTCTGCAACAGTAATCAAGTCCAGTCTATTTGTGCTCAAAAGTATCAGTTAAAGTTTCAATAACAGTTTCCGCAGTTTCACAGTTTCTCTCCTGGCTGGCAGCCGACAATTTGGCTCTTCAATCTTAACAGCCTTTAAACGGGAGGATAACTTCAATTTAGAACTCAAAGTCTCTTTAAGTTGAAAAGGATTCTATTCTTTCTCTTTTAAAAACCAATTCTATAAGCGCACGAAAGTGCCAACTTTGACAGTTCCTTTTTACAGCGCTTCCCTTCTCAAGTTCTTTGCTCTGATCTTGCTAGCAGAGCCGGAAGACGGACTTCCTTTTTCTCGTCTCCCGGTTTCAGCCAAATTTAAGCAACTTTAGTTTCCAAATGTAAAGACCATTACTCACGGGTAAATAGTTTGCAGCCTGATGTTTCCAGAAGAAAGGTCGGCGCTCATCAATAACAGTCGCGCCGCCTTCGCTTCCGCAGAAAGAGCGATGAACTCACAGCACCGCTCCCCCTCCTAACACTCCGGAGCCCCTTACGGGGTTCCTTCTGCGTTTTCGGGGTAGCTTCTGGTGCCCACCGAGTCCCACGGCCACGGGCTCACTCTACCCGTTGGTTTTTCTTCGTGGGTCGCCGCTATGCCGCAGCGTGCGACCCTTTCCTGCGGAGCCCCTCTTCAGAGAACGAAGAGGACCGCCATTATCGTTTTGCCGCCGCCTCTGATTGTTCTCCCAAGCCTAAACAGCTTGGTTTCTGTGGACAGTCAATCAGAGAAGTTTCTGGCGTGCACCATGCTTCTCCCCTAAAGTAGCTTACAAACCTGTCCTTACACCAACATTTCCCCATAACATTTCCCCATATCTTTCCTCTCTGGGGTGATAGCTGTGGAAAAGAGACTGACAACACGCATCTGGGTAGCGGCCTTATTTGACCGAGGGCCTCCATTTACTGACTTAACTCTCCTGGAGTCATAAACACATCCTTAAATACTGGTACAGTAGCTACTGGAACAGAAGGAGTTTCAAACACCCCAGGGGTATCTGTTAAGAGTAACTGCGGGAGTTGGAGTTGTCCTTGCAGTAAAAAATAACACAGAACTGTAATTTTACAAGTCCAACCTCCTGTTTGCAATTGGGAAATGAAATTGTGAGTTGCCCAAGGTTTGCGTCTTGTTAAATGGTAGGATAATAATGACGTTATAAAAGAAACGGAAGCTAGTACAGCCACTGTTTAGTGGTGTGAGCATTACATGCAGATGCTACACTTGCTACAGGTACAAATAATCCTGGAGTTACTGCAGGAATTTTTGAAATGTGCAGCTAATTAATGTTGGATGAATTTATTGAAACCAAATGTTCTTTAGTTCTTAGACGTGCACAGGAGAATTAAAAAGTCCTTCGGGATCATGCCATAAGTCCATTTTAGTTTAGCATTTTTTTCCTCCAGTGGCCAGTCAGATGCCTGCAGGATACTCAGAAACTAGATTTGAGGATCAACAGCAGTAGGAGACTGCCACCCCCATCAGCTGGTATTTAGTAGCCTCCACACCAGAGAGAGTCCATATAGTGTTAAGACGTCTATCAAGGGCAGTCTTCCATTAACTTGTCGTAGCCCCTTTTATGAACAAGCTATCTTAACTGCAGTGTATACCTCCTTCCCCTCCCTCCCCATTTCATCTTCTGTTTTGAGTTACTTTAGGCAAAATGGGAATGTTACCTGTTCTGTTTGGCTCTTGACTGTTACCAAGGATGAAATGTCACGCATAGCTTTCTTCACCTTGAATGAACCTTAGTTTTATCCCTGTTGTTTATTCTCATTTGGTGCAAGTTGCATTTTGGAATTTGGTGGAGTGGACATCTAAGCAAATGGCTGTTGATATACTGTGTTCTGTCAACATAAAAATTGAGCTCTTTCTTTTTCAGACCTCTTGGACCTGAAAGTCTCTTACTTCGTGGAGCAAGATTGAAAAACACCAAAGAAATTTTTGGTTTGTAACCACATAAGTATTTCACAAATTGCTCAAAGATTCTTGAGGCAGGTTCCCCAGAATGTAGTTATCTCTTGAGCATCAGTCAGAGGGGAACACTTTGGTGTACCTTGAATCATCTTCCCACTCTCCCTTTGACTAGGCCACTGGCGTTGCCATTCGCCAGCATAGCCTGAGTAATCAGGGTGGCTTAAGGGCCCACACCCATAATTATTAATGTACAGTTTCTGCAGACTGCTAAAATAGTCACAGACTAAATGTGCTGCAGAAACCCAACAGACCCATCAACCAGAAATGCAGTTACCAGCCCCGCAAAGCCTCCTTTTAGAATAAAATGTCTGTCTGGCTTCTAAAAACTAACAGAAAGGTTGGAGTTGGTCCCTTGGGAAAGGAGTTCCACCGACTTCCTGCTATTCCAGAGATGGCCTTGTCCCAGGTACCACCATTCTGTCAACCATACTTTGACTCTGGGTGAACACAGAGCAGAGCCCCTTAGGAAAAGATAAGAGTTTGCCATATTCTGGACACAAACAATACAGGGCTTTTAAAGGGCAAAAGCAGCACTTTGAATTGGACTCTGAAACCAAGTGAAAGTCAATGAAGATGTTGCAAAACCAGCATATCTCCATTTGGAATGCCTTAATTAATACCCTGGTGGTTATATGCTTGACCAGCTGTTTCCCAAGCATGTTTCAAAGAGTGAAAAAGCTGATGCAGTTTTGTGGAGCATTTGACTTAGGTGGCTATTATTTCAAAGCAAATTTCACGTGCAACTGCAGTATATTAGATGTAATAATAATGATAATTAATACTTTGATGTATTGCCTGCCCTTCACCGTAAGGTCTTGGGGTGGGTTGCAGCAATTTAAAATACAATATTAAAAACAGTTGAAAACAAATGGCAGTCACAAGAGTAGGCTGGTTCCTAAAAATCTCTCTCTCTGGGGTCAAAAGCCTGAGTAAAGAAGTGCATCTTCAGTGTGCAACACAAACTGCTTAATGAAAATGCTAGGCACAACTCTTCGGGGAGGAAATTCCACAAATGAAAACTTTATGGCTGACGGGTTTCACATACCCCTTGTATAATGGCTATTAGCACAGACTTCAGAACAAGCTCACAATAGGACTTAAATTGGCTGTGTTTGGACATAACTTTGTACAAGGCAGGCCTGTTTCCCCCTTCTGGCATGATCATGAGGAGAGCAGAGGCTGCTTCCTCCATTTAGATGCATCACAGTTCAGCATAAGCAATGGTTAATCCAGATTATAGTTAAGATTAACAACAATTAGTTGAAATAAAGCAGCTTCATAAAACAATGGTTAGCAGTTGGTTTTCCCCTAACCGTAGTGAGCGACAGTTAGTCCATAGTGTGGGATGGCAAAACAAGCTGCAGTTAAATTAAAACAGAAGCAACAACTCTCAGACGCCTCCTTACAGCTGTTGCCGGAGGCAGCGGTGGTGGCAGGGAGTGTGCACTGCAGCCAGTTCTCATGGCGCTAAGCTGGGATTTAGCTTTGGATCTGAACAAGCCCACAGTTTCTCATAACAGAGTATTGCTACAAATCTAATGTTTCTTGTATGGCTTTGCAGTCACAACGATAAAAATAGCACTCTGCTTTTTTCTTTTTTAATCAGCTCATGCTGCAGATACCAAGTCTAAACATCGATCTTGTTTGTTGTAGGTGTTGCAGTGTATACAGGAATGGAGACGAAGATGGCATTAAATTACAAGAGTAAATCACAGAAACGATCAGCAGTAGAAAAGTATGTGTCCTGCAGATTTTCACTGACTGGATAATTGTAATGCTTTAGAAGATCTCATAGGGTATTGTAAGCTGCAAAACTGGAAGTTTTAAGTGCTAATTTTCGGGGGAATGGAAAAATAATCCTATTGTAACCTCTTAAATTTCTGAAGAGAACTGAGGTGTTGTGCTGGAAAATGACATGAGAATTGGGCCTTCTGTATTTGATGTGAAGACAGGAGTGCCTGGCCTGCTCTTCTCCATGGGGTCACGAAGAGTCGGACACGACTAAACTACAACAAAAACAACAACAATATTTGACGTAGTCCAGAGTATTTTAGGACTGATCAGCCGTGTCTACTTGCCCTTCACTCTCCAAGGATTTGCTTTGCTGCACTTTCTGCTTAATGAGCCTGTCCTTCCAAATTCCCCCATAGCCATATTGTCTTTCCAGTCCCTTTCCTATCTAGGCTGGGAACAGAGGATTTCTCCTCCTGACTTTGCATCCCCTGTTCCTCATAGGGAAGAGCAGCATTCTTCTTGCGCAACCAGAGGTGGTTAGAAATGAGGGGAGTGGAATACAAAAAGGGAGGTGTGAGGAAGTCGTGAAATTAAGCGAACGAAAGATATGACATTGAAATTGTTTAATATGTTTTAAATGGTCTTTGTTTTGTTTATTTGTCTTATGTGTTAGTTTTGTAGTGTTTTTGTATTGTATTGTGTTGTGTTGTTTTTTTGTTTTTTTGTTTGTTTTTTGTAGTGTTTAAATTTAAATTTTTGGAAACTCAATAAATATTATTTAAAAAAGAAAAAAGAAACAGGAGGGGAACATAAGACTGAACAGTTCTTCCTTTCTTCTGTCCTGAGCAAGATATTCTTCCTCTACTGTGGCCGATTTTGACCTCTGGCTACAAACTAGAAGGTCATATTCACGCAAAGACGGAATCACCCTCTTATTTTTTAACTGGAGTTGCTTTTATCTCCATCCACAAACATGCATGGGGATGTGTTTTTGGAGCAATGTATGGTTGTGTTTGAATTGTGCCCAGTCTTCCATGCTTGCTAATGAAGCTTTTTTCACAGGGTTATTGCCATCCTGTGGATATTTGTGCATTAAATGGGCACCCACCAATTTTGTTTCCTTAGGTCTATGAATTCCTTTTTGATCATCTATCTAATAATCCTCCTCTTTGAAGCAATCTTGAGTACAATATTGAAATATGCCTGGCAGTCTGAAGAAAAGTGGCATGAGCCTTGGTACAACCAGCAAACTGATCATGAAAGAAACAGCAGCAAGGTACAGTTTAGAATTATGTGCACATTCTAGGTGATTTCCGCCCCCCCCCCCATGCTGACTTGCCTAATACTAGAGGGATGTAGTCACACTGGTTAGACAGTTACTTGCTCAGAGATTCCTTCTCTTCACTTCTAGGGAGCAGTGCCAGAATGTAAGTTTCCCAAGTTTGAGAGACATCCCATTGTTACAAGCCATTTTGCACATTGAGTAACTGATACTGGCATTGGTTTGTGCATGCACTAGCCAAGTCTACAGAGGCATATTAGCCTATGAAGTTAGTACTGCAAAAGGATTTCCTAGGAAAATGGTGCACTGCATCCTAGGTGGCACTTTGCAAAGGGTCCAGTATTTCATAGCAAAGGTGTATTTTAAGATGTGGCACAGTGGTTAGGCTTACATTGCAGAGAACTGAGTTCTCTTCCCGACTGAACCACAACAAAGCATACTGGGTCATCTTGGTTCTGTCGCTGTCTCTCAGACTAACTGACCTCACAGAGTTGCTTTGTGGATAAAATATGGCGGGGGGGGGGGAGAGCAACCATGGATGCCGCTCAAAGCTATCTGAAGGTGGGATGCAACTATAACCTAAATAAAATAAAAACAAAATAATCATCCCAGTTCAAAGCTTTTATATAAACCCAAACAGAAAGGTTAGCTTTTTGAAGGAGATGTTGGTGTGTCCAGTTGATAATAAGTGACTAAAGGACAGCAGGGCATTTTGCAATGATTATTATTTATTCTTAAATAAATACGTTTCACTTTCAGTTTAGTGAATACTATTTCTCTTCCTTTCTCATTCAGATTCTGAGATTTATTTCAGATTTCCTTGCTTTCCTGGTCCTTTACAACTTCATTATTCCCATTTCACTGTACGTGACTGTTGAGATGCAGAAATTTCTAGGATCTTTTTTTATTGGTTGGGATCTTGACCTCTATCATGAAGAAACAAATGAGAAGGCCCAAGTGAATACTTCAGACCTCAATGAAGAGCTGGGACAGGTATAGAACGGATGTTTCAATATGATTTCCCCCACCCAGGTTCAGAACAGTCTATAATTCCAGTATCTGCTGAATTTATTCTAAAGTTGTTATTGATCAGTGATTTTGTGTACTTACCTTGCATTACCTATAAGCAGAGTGATGCACAATTCACACAAGCATGGGAAAGGTGCAGAATTTTGAACTGACATTCATTATTTTGAGAACTTTAGTTTTAAAAAACCATTTCCTACCCATTAGAAAATGTGTAGAAATCTCTGAGACCAGAGAGAATTCAATGGGCTTTTTTAGTTGCTGTGGGTTGGGGCTTCAATGCGATGCAATAGTGCCTCAATCCTTTTTATTATTTACTGGCGGTAGAACAAATTGTATAGCACATAGTTGCCTCCTGAAGACCCCAGTTTCAAAATTCTAGTACTTCAAATGAAAAGGAAAGGAGACGTTGGAGAATTCTTCCAACTGAAAGATGGACAGTGGACCAATGGCCTGACTCTGCTTAAAACAGTTTTGTACATTCAAAACTTATGCTAACTTTCCATAATGCAGGTTGCAGAAACCAGAGGATTGTGTTATCTTGATGCGTGCTTGTGTGTTAGGTCAACAGGGTTGAACGATTCATGATAGACAAAATAAAGTACCGTATTTTTCTCTCTATTACACGCAGATTTTTTCTCCTAAAAAGGAAGGGGAAATGTCTGTGCGTGTTATGGAGCGAATGTGGGGGGGGGTGGTCCCTGGAGCCGATTAGGGGAGCGCAGGAACAAAAATCAGCAAAAATCAAAGTGCGTTGTGTCGGAGAAGGGAAACCTGAAAAGAGGAAGTGGTTGCTTTCCTGCATTCTGCCTCAGGGTCTTACTGCCCACCCTCCTCTGTTTCGTTGCTGTGTTTGCTCAAACGGAACAAAGAGCAGGCAAATCCCCTCCCCTCCAGGCAAGCAGAGGGGAAAGCAGAGGTCTTTCCTTTTAATTCCTCTCCGTGCTCCTCGCAGGCAGCCAGAAAACATGCAGGAGGAGAGAGAAAGCTGGCTTCGGTTTGTGGAAACTTTTGCCTTTTTCTCCTACCTCCCGTTAAATCCCTCTCCTGCTTTCTTAGCCAGCTGCTTCTCTGCACACCGCTCTCTTGTCCCTTCTGTGTTTTTCCTTCACTCCCCACTTAAAATGTAGTTACAAAGCATGGATCCACATGGATCCTCAGGATCTTTGCATTGAGCCACCCCAAATTCACCATCAGATCACATAGCAGCCTGCCCCCCAAAAATCACACACCCACTGTTGCCTGGGGCTGCAATGGTGCAAAAATGTGGTTAAAAAGCATGGATCCACATGGATCCTCAGGATCTTTGCATTGGGCCACCCCAAATTCACCATCAGATCACATAGCAGCCTGCCCCCCAAAAAATCACACACCCACTGTTGCCTGGGGCTGCAATGGTGCAAAAATGTGGTTAAAAAGCATGGATCCACATGGATCCTCAGGATCTTTGCATTGGGCCACCCCAAATTCACCATCAGATCGAATGAATGAATGAATGAATGAATGAATGGTGTTCTCCAAGAGAAAACTCCGACATAAATGGAAAATTAATAACCAACCTATTGAGCAAGTAACATCTTTTAGATATCTTGGAATAATTTTTGATGAGAAGGGATCTTGGTGCCATCAGATTAAGAATTCCATTGTAAATGCGCAAAGATCTTCCAGAGCTATCATAAGATTCTTTTACAGAAAAGGAGGTCAATATGTTCCTGCTGCCTCCCAGGTCTTTGTTGCAAAAATACTTCCACAATTGATGTATGGCACCCAGATATTTAATTGTCAAAAACTCAAGTCCCTGGAATCTGTACAAACTAAATTTTATCGTTCCCTACTAGGGTTACCTACCTGTGTCTCTAACACTGCCATTAGGCTGGAGGTAGGTCAACTCCCTATTAATGCCAGGATATGGATCCTGAAGATTCACTTCTGGCTAAAACTCATATTTTTCCCAGTGGGAGTGGCTCCATTGACTCTACTAGACCCGTTCCAGTCTAAATGGAGATTGTCGCTTTATGAAAAATTGAGGGGCCTGGGGCTTTCCCCACAAGAACTCATAGCCTCAGGCTTTGAAAAGGCTAAAATGATGGTGAGCCAGCGAATAGGAGATGTAGAGCTTCAGGACCATATGAGCAAGATAGATAAATATCCAGCTATCCAAGATTATGAAAAAGGGTTTAATCTAACCCCATATTTGCTGGACCTACAAATCGCAAAATATAGGCGGGCGTTTACCCTTACCAGATTTGATGTATTGCCATCTGCCTTACTAAAGGGCAGATACGAGGGCACACCCTATGCTGAACGAGTTTGCCCATGTGGTCTGAAGGAGGTGGAAACGGCTTCACATGTGTTGTTACACTGCGACCTTTACGGGGATATCAGGTTACTGTTTATCTCCCCTATCGTTCACCATCAGATCACATAGCAGCCTGCCCCCCAAAAATCACACACCCACTGTTGCCTGGGGCTGCAATGGTGCAAAAATGTGGTTAAAAAGCATGGATCCACATGGATCCTCAGGATCTTTGCATTGAGCTACCCCAAATTCACCATCAGATCACATGTCTGTGGCCACAGCATGAAGCACAAAAATGATACATCCACTGTTTCATTCAGAATTTTTTCCCTTGTTTTCCTCCTCTAAAAACGATGTGCGTGTTATGGTCAGGTGCGTGTTATAGAGCGAAAAATACGGTACTTTTATGCACTGAAGGTGAGAGAGTGGCCTTTCCCCAGCGTTTTGCTATGTAATGGGATTTGAGTACCGCTCCCAGTTCAGCCTTGTGTCCTACAGATCACATCAACATTTTGTGTGCAGGTGGGGGAACAGACAAACTTGGTTTCACTGCTTCTAAACTTATTTTTCTTATCTCTCTTCTCAACTTACCATAGGTGGAGTATGTGTTTACAGATAAAACTGGTACATTAACTGAAAATGTGATGCAGTTTCGGGAATGTTCTATTAATGGTATAAAGTACCAAGAGATCAATGGCAAACTGGTTCCAGAAGGGCTGATTGAGGATTTTCCAGATGGAATACAGCCTAGACTGGTAAGATTTTCTCCCAGTTTCAATTGATTAATGTCTCATGTAATATTCTGGTTAAGTAGCTTAGCACTCCTCAAGATTTGGTTCCAAAAGGGACTTATTGAAGTGTTCAATAGGAGAATTGAATGATCGTTGAGCAGAGGTTTAGGTGCTTTTTTTTTAGGGACAGTGAATTGTTTATTTGGAGAAAACAGCCAGATGATGTGCACGCTTATTTCGAACAGTGTTCCATGGGACACTTTCCAAGTTAACTTTCATTGGATTGCAGTCATGCATCTTGAGCCTATCCATGTTCTTGCTTGAAAGCAAATCTGATTTCTTGCAGTGGGGCTTTACCCCAAGTGAGTGCTGCATAGGAGTGCAACCTTTAGCAACAGCGATTATATACATTGTGCATCCTCTTGTCTCATTTTTGTGTGAGAGAGACTTCTAGATTTTGTGAAATGTTGCCTTGTGTATTGCCTGAGCTCACAATACTACTGCTGCAAAGGATTGTTAGCACCATGTTTGCTGTAAGATGTGGATCCACTATAACCCTGCAGCACTTAGGATATTTTATGATGCCAGGTTGGATATTTCCAAGGTTTGGCAGTAGACAAGTGTCACAGTCTTAGGGTTCAGGAGAAGAAAGTGATTATGTTGTTTGCTGAGAAGTTGCCTCTCTTCCCTTTTGGTCTGAAAGTTCCGCAGGTTTTAGTAACTCCTTTCTTTAGAGAAGAATAAAAAGAATTGCTTGTCAATTTTGTGTTAACTTGTATTAATACCATGTTTTGCCTTCATGTTTTAAAAACAGACGGAAGAGGAGGAAATCTTCCTGAAAGCTGTTTGTCTCTGTCACACGGTGCAGATTAATAATGACCAAACTGACGGCATTTGTGACAGTCCTTGGCGTAGCAATGGCATATCCTCTCAGCTGGAATACTATGCCTCCTCCCCAGATGAAAAGGCTTTAGTCGAAGCTGCCCGCAGGTGAGGATTAGAAGCCAAGGTTTTGTGCATTATTTAGCAGGCAAAAATGGCAACGCTGGAGAAGTTGAAACTTGCATCGTTTGTCCCGTTGAGCCCGGAAGAGCAAGGAGAGTGATGAAACAAGCTTTTCGCCTTTCCTTGATTTAGCTCATAAAGCAAGCGTAGCTATTGGAGTGCCAGTTGGTCATTGAAGAGAGTATGACTTTCTTTAACATCTCATGGGGCCCCTGGAGCAGCTATGCATAATGAAGTAGTGACTCAAGGTCGTCATCCAGAGGAACTTTGCACAAGGCCAGATCTCTGGCAGGAGGGTAGCAGTGACTTTTAGCCCCTTCCTTTCCTCTTCAAGCTATATCCCTTCCTCACTGGTAACTTTCCTTTAATGAAAAGGTGCTTTTGAAACAAGGTCAGCTGGAACGTCAGCCACCAGTACTGTTTTTGTATGATGTATATACAAATATATACAGAGGGGGTTATTGTTAGAGGTTTTAAATTATTACACGGACTATTTCATTGATAGGACAAAGGACTGTATTGAAATAATATAAAACTTAATAAAACAATAATTTTCCAATACAAAAAAATTGCAGCTTACAGCTTTTAGTCAAAATGTAGCTCCTGGGTAATGAAATAGACGTACCGTGATATTTAGAGGAACCAAAAGATTTGCGAAAAAATGTTAGAAAAAGAATACGAACCCCAAACAGCTCAATGATCTCTGAGCTCGATTAGTGGCCAGTGACACAGCAGGGGAAATTAAGAAGTATTACTGATTAGTTCTATGTCTGGAATCACGATTGCTTGTACAATGACTTTAATTCTTCTTTAAAATGTTGTTTTATTTCTAAGATAATTCTTCCTGCTGGAGCAGGGCAGTATAATGCTTTTTGGTATTATCCAAGCAAATTGTTTTCATGGGGACACTTTTTTAAAACTGACTTCTTTCTTCCAAATTTTTAAGGGTTGGTGTTGTGTTTACTGGAGCAAGCGCAGAAAGTATGGAGCTTAAAAGCTGTGGAAAGCCAGAAAGGTTAGTAATTAAGCAGTAATAATGTTTCTCAGACTGTTAAGATTCTGTAAGGTGTCTCAATCAGTGTTGATACATCAAACCAATCTGCATTATGCCCTCTTAGCAAAAAGCAGTTTAACTGGCTTGCCTTTAATCTCAGAGGAGAACTCTCTTTGGCAATCACTCGAAGCTGAGTAAGATTGTCTTCCATAAACACGGTTTTAACAGTGAGTCCGTAAGTGACTGTGGAGGCCAGTTCTGGATCCACACATCCTTCCACAGTGGGGACATAGGTTTCCAGGTAGGAGTTGATCACAGTGAGGGTTTGCCAAGTGTGCCGCCTTCTTAGCACATTTCTCCCTTTCCTGAGTTCGAGCATCTTCAAAGCCCATGACACCTTTGGTAAAGGCTGTTCTCCAACTGGAGAGCTTGCAGGCCAGTGTTTCCCAGTTGACAATGTTTATACTACATTTTTAAAAAATTTGCCTTGAGAGAGTCTTTGTTGACCACCAGCAATACGCTTTCCATTTTCAAGTTTAACTGGAAACTCATTGGGCTCCTAAGTTCAGTCTCTGGCATTTCCAGTTACAGATTCTTATATATTAGGGTGGAGGTTAAACAAGACTTAGTTAGATGGGCCATTGGTTGGACTTATTATGCCTGTTGATCAATTTGTCCACTTATGTCATATTATTCATAAATGACAAATGGAGGCAGGCCTGAAGGCAGATTTGATTGCAATATCTACACCATAGTTAGCTTATTTAGTCATTATCTATGATACATTGCAACTGCATGAGGTGGGGGGGGGAAATGCCAATTATATAATATGTTTGCTTGAAAATATGATAGCTGTATGTCGGTCACAGATACATTCTTGTCTGATTGGCAGTGGCTCTTCATAAGCCACGAACGAGAAGCTTGTTGCTTTTAACTGTCGCTTGGTAGGTCACAGCTTTAAAACATTCTAGTGTTTTAAAACACGTTCGGATAAATATGTAGCGAGCATTCTGTTTTTACAAAGTGTATATTTTAATATACAATGAAGAGAAGTGTGTGGTCCTAAATTGAGTTCCTCCGAAGGAAAGGAATTCTGAAAACACAAGGAGCGTAGACTAGATAAATGGAAGATCTTTAATAGAAGGATTATATCTAGAAACATGCTTGTTTCTGTACATGTATTCTTCACCTGCGTCTTGAGTCTCAGATGCCCCTTGAGTCTCGCCACCTCATCCATGTTTGAGGGTTAAAAGCTGCTCCCTGTTCCTGCATCCACCCAGTGTCTGAGCTGGGAGAATGCTGCTGCTTTTCTCCAGCCTCATCAGTGCAGCAGCAGGCATGTACTTTTCTGTAGCTCTTGTGGTTCTTTAGATTCAACAATTTGTAGAGGAGTAGCTGCCTTAGTTTTGGGCAGCAAACAGCAAGAGTCTTGAGTACCTTAAGTAACTAACAAACTTATTATGGTATGGTCTGTAAAAACTTGTGCCATAATAGATTGTGCCATAATAGATTTGTTAAGTCTTTAAGGTGCTACAAGACTCTCTGTTAGGTTTAACAAGTAATACTGTATTGATATTTTTGCCTTCAGTTTTTTAATATATACTGTAAAGATGATCCTTCCCTTTTGAAGGTACAAATTACTACATGTTTTGGAGTTTGATGCAAATCGCAGAAGAATGAGCGTAATTGTAGAAAGCCCATCAGGTAAGAAACATCATGCATATTTATTGCTCCTTACCTTGCTTCTTAAACCAAAAATTCCTGCATCAGCTTCCTTGTTGGGGACTCTTCTGGATGCTGAACAGGTTACTATGAACTGTAAACATGATTTACACTTAAATCCTTTGCAGGTGAGAAGCTCTTATTCACCAAAGGTGCAGAATCCGTTATTCTTCCTCGCAGTACAAGTGGAGAGGTAGAAAAAACCAGAATTCATGTGGATGAATTTGCTTTGGTATGTAGAAGTGGGTTTTTTTTCCCCTTTTTTTTCCTTTTCTTTCAAATTTGCTAGTAGATCTACGTAAAACTTCTGCCAAAGTTGAGAACCAGTTAGTGCTGTGGTTGACACAGATGACTTATGGATACAGAAGATTGATGACTGTTCAATGTGGGACTAAGAGCTGATTCATACATGGGGGATTCCCTGCTCCTTGCTGTCTCCTTCAGGGGCTTGTGAGCTCAGACACCCAGGCAGGGTTGAGTAAAAGTTGAATTTGTATCAGCTACTCCCTGCTGATAGGTTCCTATGGCCACTGTCAGTCCCGTGATGTGAACACCTTGAAAAAGTGCCACTCCCTTGCGAGAGGCCAGAGCAGTGAGATGGGGGCTATCCCATTTTTGAATCTGAATAATAATAGAATGAAAGTTGCCTTGTCCAGAGCACCTGCAGATTATGGTCAACCAGTTGTATTGTGGAATTGGTTTTTGCATTGCTTTTGTCTTTCAGGTGCTCTTCCTACCCTTTCACTTCATTTTGTTTATTGCAAGATATGGGGCAGCAACAACAGGCCTCTGGGTGTCAATGATTTATTTATTTCTGTACCGCAAACGCATATAAAATATATGCCATGTACAAGATCTCATTTAACACCACATGACAAACAAAACCAAAGCAAAATACATGAAAGAGAGTAAAGTACAGAATGGGTCACCACCCAGCTTGTAAAAAACAGTAAAACATTTAGAAATCTGGTGGATGTCAGCTGAACCTATCTAATGCTGAAGTAACCCTTTTTGCTTTTCACAGAAAGGATTAAGAACTCTGTGTGTAGCTTACAGAAAATTCACCGCTAAGGAGTATCAGGAAGTCGAAAAACGCCTTTTTGAGGCAAAAACCGCTTTACAACAGCGGGAAGAGCGATTGTCGGAGGTGTATAACTTTATAGAAAATGACCTGGTACTACTTGGAGCTACAGGAGTGGAAGACAAGTATGTACTACCTGAACTAATTATTCGGATGTGGGACTTCTGCCCACTGCAGGGCAGCTTGCAAATTAATCTGTTCCATGCAAATTGGGAATTGGTTCCCTTCCTGTGGGGGTGATCTGAGCATATATCCCACCCCTCAATCACATATTGTGCCATGGTAAGCTATGTGCATGTAGCCAGAGTCTGTGATGCTTCCCGCCCTCTCAGAATGCAAGAGAGTACAGTCAGGGCCATTGCACCTGTAGTTGGAAGTGCAGTAACTTCGCTCTGAACTCCATACTATCATGGGATGTGAATAGGCAGCATGCAGTTTCTACGTATTGGGCTGAAATCAATGCTCTCGGCATCAAAACCTTGGGTGTTCAGTGGCTGGAAAATCATAATTGTGTGGCTGTGCTATATACCTTATGCCAGCCAGCCTGACACTAGAAAAAACACCTGGTAATAGTCCTCCTTGGGATTGTCCTCTGACCACTTCGGTAGCAGGCATGAGCATTCATTGAATTTGGTGAAGTATGTTACCAAATACAAATGTTTAAAAGTGAGGTGTGTAAAGGCTTGGTGTAGTAGCCTAAGATAATGGGTGCCTCTTGAAGCTAGTGCAGGTATTATATACATAATATACATACATAATATGCATTATAAGCTCTACCGGTGAAAGGTAAAGGACCCCTGACAGTTAAATCCAGTTGGAAACGACTCTGGGGTTGCGGCACTCATCTCGCTTTACTGGCCGAGGGAGCTGGCGTTTGTCCACAGACAGTTTTTCCGGGTCATGTGGCCAGCATGACTAAGCTGCTTCTGGCGAACCAGAGCAGCGCACGGAAACACCGTTTACCTTCCCGCCAGAGTGGTACCTATTTATCTACTTGCACTTTGACGTGCTTTCGAACTGCTAGGTTGGCAGGAGCTGGGACCGAGCAACGGGAGCTCACCCCGTTGAGGGGATTCAAACCGCCTACCTTCCGATCAGCAAGCCGAAGGCTCAGTGGTTTACACCACAGCGCCACCTGCGCTCTACTGGAGCCTGAAACAAAGCACTGAACTTGGTATTAAAACTGGAATTCAGTGTAATGAGAATTTGTAGAGGGTTTTTAAACATTTGTGGTTGGAAAAGGCATGCTTGAGAGTGTGCGGACTGCGGGTAGGATAATCTCAGAAGCCAGAGCATTTCTAGAATAACTCTTCTGGTGATTTGATAACAGGGCTTCTTTAGCGAAACCAGACTAAATCAAACACAGTGAGACATATTGTAATCATAAACAAATCAGTTGTAGCATTGTTGACGAGAATGGCTTGTTTTACTTTCAGACTCCAAGACAAAGTCCAGGAAACCATAGAAGCGCTCCGACTGGCAGGTATTAAAGTGTGGGTGCTCACTGGCGACAAGCACGAAACCGCTGTCAGTGTCAGTTTATCTTGCGGACACTTCCATAGAACCATGAACATCCTGGAACTTGTGCAACACAAATCAGACAGTACATGTGCAGAGCAGCTGAGGCAGCTAGCCAGAAGGTAAAATGCTGTGTTGTGTCTGGGTGGATAACGTTAACAGCTCTTAATGCAGAACTCTCTCGATACATAAATAAGCCAGTCGCTTTGCATCTCCCATCTTTGCTGCATGACTCTTCACCTGATGCTACCAAGCCTGTTGCTTTGGGAAGGGAGAGGGAATCTTTGTCCTTCGGGTTCTTTTGAGGATTTGGTCTTCAGCAAAAGGGGGTGGGGGTGAGGAATGGATTGCAAGCAGTAACATTTCCTCTTTCCCTTGTTAGAATAGAGGAGGACCATGTAATCCAGCATGGGCTGGTGGTGGACGGGACCAGCCTCTCCCTCGCACTCAGGCAGCATGAGAAGCTCTTCATGGAAGTCTGCAGAAATTGCTCTGCCGTCCTGTGCTGTCGCATGGCACCTCTGCAGAAAGCAAAGGTAATTTGCTCAGGTTGCAGGGTCATCTAGCAGCCACGATCTGCTGTGGAGGCGCCCTCAACACTTGTAGCATCCTCTGTTATTTATTTAATGCCTTGCTAATGGACCGGTTCGGGACGCGGGTGGCGCTGTGGGTTAAACCACAGAGCCTAGGACTTGCCGATCAGAAGGTCGGCGGTTCGAATCCCCGCGACGGGGTGAGCTGCTGCTCCTGACAACCTAGCAGTTCGAAAGCACGTGCAAGTAGATAAATAGGTACCGCTCTGGAGGGAAAGTAAACGGCATTTCCGTGTGCTGCTCTGGTTCGTCAGAAGCGGCTTAGTCATGCTGACCACATGACCCGAAAGCTGTATGCCGGCTCCCTCGGCCAATAAAGCGAGATGAGCGCCGCAACCCCAGAGTCGGTCACGACTGGACCTAATGGTCAGGGGTCCCTTTACCTTTAATGGACTGGTTGAGAGCCAAACAGCAGCATAGCCACGCCCTTCCTATCTCCCATTCAAGTACTCTATACTGATGTAGTCTCTCGCACTTGAATGGTTATAGAGCATAGAATCATAGAATCATAGAGTTGGAAGAGACCACAAGGGCCATCGAGTCCATCCCCCTGCCAAGCAGGAAACAAGCCTGAAACATGCGAAAACATTACAGTCCACATTCTTACTCTAGGCATCAAAAATTTGACTTCCAGCTACCATTCAATAATACATTACTCCCTTAATCTGTGTCCGGAGAACAGAGGTGGTAGGTCCTTACCCCAAGGAGCTTAAAAAGTGTGTATTTTTTTAATGTATTCAAACTTTGGTGGATTCTTAATCACTGTCCTGCCTACTGACTTTGCTAATGGCATTTTGTTATTTGAGCAGCTCCACAAAAACCCTCAAAAGGCAGTACCTGGGGTTCCATTTTTTAAAACCCTGTTTTTCTGTACAGGTTGTGCGGCTGTTGAAAACCTCTCCAGAGAAGCCTATCACGTTAGCTATAGGAGATGGAGCTAATGATGTGAGCATGATACAGGAAGCTCATGTTGGGATAGGTAAGAGCCTTCTTGTTGTGCAGTTCTATCTAGGTTTTTGTTTTGGAGTCTTCAGAGTCTCCTTGTATTCAATAAGCGGAGTTATGATACGTATCTGCTCAGTGCACGAAAGACCTGGGGGATAAACAAGAGGCTCTGTCTGCACACGGATGACATATAAAAATGTATTTATAGCTCCCTTTTAGCCAAGGTTTTCTTCTAAAGAGGCTTACAATTTTTAAAGCAAAGGTATGATATAGTTTGTTTGACCAAACTGCAGGAGGCAGTGGAAGACAGAAGTGCCTGGCGTACTCTGGTCCATGGGGTCACAAAGAGTCGGACACGACTAAATGACTAAACAACAATGATATAGTTAGGGATGCGGGTGGCACTGTGGGTTAAACCACAGAGCCTAGGACTTGCCGATCAGAAGGTTGGCGGTTCAAATCCCCGCGACGGGGTGAGCTCCCGTTGCTCGGTCCCTGCTCCTGCCAACCTAGCAGTTCGAAAGCACGTCAAAGTGCAAGTAGATAAATAGGTACCACTCTGGCGGGAAGGTAAACGGAGTTTCTGTGCGCTGCTCTGGTTCGCCAGAAGCGGCTTAGTTATGCTGGCCACATGACCCGGAAGCTGTACGCCGGCTCCGTCAACCAATAAAGCGAGATGAGCGCTGCAACCCCAGAGTCGGCCACGACTGGACCTAATGGTCAGGGGCCCCTTTACCTTTACCTTTATGATATAGTTTAGAGCAGCCTTCCTCAGCCTGGTGCCTGGCTTGGGCTGATGGGAGTTGTAGCGCAAAACATCCAGAGGGCACCCAGTTGAGGAAGGCTGATTTGGAGGATATGCTGGGGGGGGAGGCAGTGTCTTCTGACCCCTGGGAATATATGACCCAGTCCAGGTTCTCCCAGAGGGATGTGATGGAAGGCACTAGCAGATGGTGAAAATGCCAGTCTGCACAAGCAGCCCTTCCATTGACCTTCAAGTTCCTGGCGCCAAAAAGAAAATAGGGGAAATACCTATGTAAAGAAGCGGGGGGGGGGGGGAGCATACGTGGGACTTCAGTTTGTGTGCCCTTACTTTGTAGATGCTTGGCTTGCTTTCCACTCCATTGATTCAACGTTTGTATTGTGCTCAAAGCAGCTCACAATAATGGCAATGACATTGAAAATTAGCAAACATCACAATCACTATAATAGTATCAAAAATGCAGTAGCATACAAATAAAGCAACAAAAACCCCCATTGATGAATTAATAAATTCAATACACACTTGCAACAATTCAAAATGCCAGAAGGAGGTGCTGAGCACCAGCCCTTTTCTGTAGCACTACAGTGCATAGAGTTGGGCAGAATCTGTTCTAGAAGACCATTTACACAGAGAAAATGCTACGCCAGTATTTTCTTGCAGAAATTAGAAGCCTTCATTTTTATTCACCTACTTGCTCTCACACAGTGATGCTAATTACTTGTGGCCTTTTTATTTCTAATCCAAACCAACAGGCAAGTGATTTTTTTAGAAACTTGTGCTACATAAATTGAATTCATTCTTGCAGTAAGGAACTGAGCATTAATGGGCTTGTTGTTGTTATTAAAAGCCCCAGACTAGATGACGACGACAACAACAACAACAACAGCGTCTTACACATGCAAGACCTGACTCTCTTCTAGTCATTTTTTTCAGTTGCTTGTGTTAGTTTTACTGTGTTTCAGGCCACTGCCTTTGATTTTTGCATGCCTCGGGGGCAGGTGATAAATTCACCTTAATTTTTCTTTTGTTCTCCATATATTACAGGTATTATGGGTAAAGAAGGAAGACAAGCTGTAAGAAACAGTGACTATGCAATTGCAAGATTTAAATTTCTTTCCAAATTACTTTTGGTCCACGGCCACCTTTATTATATTAGAATAGCAACCCTTGTACAGTACTTTTTTTACAAGGTAAGTTCCTGCAGATCATGACTGCATCTTCCCGTTGCTAGAAACATTTTCTTCTGTGGGTACTTCCTTAAGGTTAACTGCACCAGGTGGAAGAACATTCAGAAGCACCTAAACAGGACCTCTGTTAACCAAGCACATAACTTCAGAAGTTATCCACTGCTGGTCTTTTAAGGACTCTGCATTGCCACACACATCATTCAAAGCTATAATATGGAATTGTCTTCAGCATGGTACTTTGCATTCTTAACATTTATTGGCAGAGCTGAGATACCTTTAACTGACTCAGTCTGGAACTTTCTTATGTTAGAGAAGGAAATTTTCCTGTTTCTTCTTCTTTTGCTCCATCCTGCATTGTTCAAGAACGCCCACTGGTCTTCCAGATAAGCCTTTTGGGGTTTGCAGATGGGATAAGAGTATGGTAACTTCCCTTCCCTTAACTTGGGATTCAAGCTGAAAATGATTGTCATTTAAACGGCATGGTTTGCAAACCAGGTAGTTTCAGTACAGTAGTATTGTGTCATGGGTTGGGGGTTACATTCCAGGGATGGCACATCTATGCAAAAAAATGTGTATACAGTGGTACCTCAGGTTAAGTACTTAATTCGTTCCAGAGGTCCGTTCTTAACCTGAAACTGTTCTTAACCTGAAGCACCACTTTAGCTAATGGGGCCTCCTGCTGCTGTCGCGCCGCCAGAGCACGATTTCTGTTCTCATCCTGAAGCAAAGTTCTTAACCTGAAGCACTATTTCTGGGTTAGTGGAGCCTGTAACCTGAAGCATATGTAACCTGAAGCGTATGTAACCCAAGGTACCACTGTATACTTGAACTGCCCCCATGTGGTGAACCTTACCTTCCAAGCAAGGCAGAGAGCTTTCCAACTTTCCAGCTTGCTTTCCAGGCTCTGGGATGCTCTCGCAAGATCTCACAGGGCCAGCCGAGTTCCTGTGAAATCTCACAAGAGCATCCCGGAGCCCAGGAAGTAAGTATGAGAGCTTAACAGCTCTTTCCACGCCGGGAAAACCCAGTTCAAAAGGAGCTTTTTAGCTCTCTGCCTTGTGTGCAATTAATTTTTAGGATCTGAGCCGGCCAGCCTTCAACCACACAAGGTTGAAATTGTGCAAGTTCATCGTGCACAAGATGTGATCATACTTTACCTAGTTTTATAAGGTAACTGTGGCTTCCATGTGATGAACACATAATGAAAAACCATGGTCAATAGACAAGGAAGGAGGGATCCCTCCTTGGGGGGGGGCAGGGTCCACATGCTCTCTATTTGTAAACCATAATTGTCAGAGCTGTTAAGTCTTCACTCTAGTGTAGACTTAGAACCTGAGATTCTTTATTTGGTAATGGAAACAATGGTATCTGAGATAGAGGAGAGCATTTTAATGTATCATGAATATTACCCACATTAGAACTTTCCTTTTTAGTCCAACCAGTGTGTCCTAGCTAGCTGTATCTTATTACCCTGATCCTGAATTTGATAGTGTCCAGGATTATAAATCTGTGTAAGGTTGGGATTTGCTCTGTTCCTCCTAGGATTCCTAATTAAACATTATGGCTAGTGGCCTATATAAACGTTTCAATATCTGTGATATGCTGTACTTGCTTGATGCCGCTTAACTGGTTCTGCTTCACTTTTTGTTTTCCAGAATGTGTGCTTTATTACACCACAGTTTTTATATCAATTCTTTTGCTTGTTTTCACAACAAGTAAGTATTCATTTGAATGTTTCTTCCAGTTCCTCACCCCACTGCAATGCATTTATGGGTGGATATAGAGAAGTGAGAGAAAGAAAAATAGAATATTTTATATTATACGATAGCTAAAACAGAATGACTGTTCCTACAGCCAAATAACCCTTAAGTATCATCTTGGTCCCTGACAGGGTGAGCTCCCGTTGCTCGGTCCCAGCTCCTGCCAACCTAGCAGTTCGAAAGCACGTCAAAGTGCAAGTAGATAAATAGGTACCGCTCTGGTGGGAAGGTAAACGGCGTTTCTGTGCACTGCTCTGGTTTCACCAGAAGTGGCTTAGTCATGCTGGCCACATGACCCGGAAAAACTGTCTGCAGACAAACGCCGGCTCCCGCGGCCAGTAAAGCGAGATGAGCACCGCAACCCCAGAGTTGGTCATGACTGGACTTAACTGTCAGGGGTCCTTTACCTTTACCTTTAACATCTTGGTATCACTTCTCTTCTCTACCCCCCTTTTTTTGTCTATCTTCCTTTAAAATTATCATTTGTAAAGTCATAGAAATATACAAGAACTCTTCCGTGTCTGTGGGGAAGATTTTTATTTTCCTCAAGGGTCATTTAAAGACTTTGCCCTGCAGAATGAGAGATGCACAAAGTGAAGTGATACCATCTTTGTACCAGTTGGTTGGGTGCCAACCTTGTTCCTTTCTCTGAGGTGTTAGGGTCTACGAGAAACTTCAAAAGAGTAGCCTTGTGCTAGGAAGCTGAAAACACATTTAGAGCATGAGGAACTCGTAACATTCGCTAGTTCTTGTGGTTTGAAGCATCACTGTAAGTAAGCTACAGTGAGGGAATGGGGGCATATTGGTTTTGTGGTGTACCTTTGACGTTATAGAACTGGATGCCTTTTGGTTTTATAGAAATAAAACCTGGCTTTTGAATTGCTCGCAACTGAGCACTTTTGACTCGTAAGTCCTGTCTCCTGTTTCTGCATTTCAGAACCACTAATTCCCCTCCTTTCATGCTTTTCAGACTCTGTACGACAGTGTGTACCTGACTTTGTACAACATTTGTTTCACCTCCCTGCCAGTCCTCATGTACAGTCTTTTTGAACAGCACGTGCATCCCCATGTATTACACAGCAAGCCAACGCTGTATCGGTAAGCATGCTCTGCTGGGGGGAGGGCTGTGATTAATAAATGAGTAATGGGGCATTCCCCCCCCCCACCTCAAGTGGTAGAAAAACAGTGGCACCAGAAGCTGTTAAATGCACCAGTACTAGATGATCCCAGCCTGCTTGTTTCTATGTAACTGGCAGATATTCTTCTTATGAACACTAAATAACTGAAATGTGGATGAGCCATAGTCAGTCGTCAAAGCAAACACAGTGGTACCTCTGGTTACGAACGCTTCAGGTTATGAGATCCACTAACCCAGAAGTAGCTGCTCCTGGTTGTGAACTTTGCCCCAGGATGTGAATGGAAATCACACACCAGAGGCCCCATTAGCAAAAGTGCGCCTCAGGATAAGAACAGTTTCAGCTTAAGAACGGACCTCCGGAACAAATTAAGTTCGTAACCAGAGGTACCACTGAAGCATCACTTTAGCTAATGGGGCCTCCTGCTGCTGCCGCACCGCCGGAGCATGATTTCTGTTCTCATCCTGAAGCAAAGTTCTTAACCCGAGGTATTATTTCTGGGTTAGCGGAGTCTGTAACCTGAAGCGTATGTAACCTGAAGCGTATGTAACCCGAGGTACCACTGTATATAGTTTGCACATGGAAGATTCCTTGCTCAGTCTAGCCATCTCCCGTTGATGATGGCAGGACTGGGCTGAGACTGTTCCAAAGAAGGGGAGGCAACGCTAGGCTAAATGAGTCCAAGGGTCAGGCTGTAACTCTGAGGCTAGGGAGCCCCTGGCCCTCCAGATATTGCTGGACTGCAACTCCCATCCGCATCAGCTTGGTCCCAACCGTGAGAGATGATGGGATTTGTAGTTTCAGCAACATCTGGAGGAGCCACAGGTTCCCCACCTCCTGCTATAAGGCAATCACATGTTCACGAGGTCAGTTTTCAATAACGTTCAGGAACGTTTGTGTCGGTGCAGGGAACACCAAAAAGCTGTCCTCTCCCCTCCCTTCTCTGATAGTATGACAGAACATCTTCTCATCTGTTTGACAGAATGACACTCAGAATACGCAAAATAGTTTTCTTTGCTTGGAAAACTATTGAACCTGCCATGGTACTTTTCATTCTTCAAATCGGGTACGGAGTAAAACTTCAAAATCAAATGTCAGGATGGATGCCTTCATTTGTTGAGGGAGGTCAGTCACAGATGTTTCCATTCCGCTCTGAAAACTACGGAGACTCTACCCTTAACATTTGAATCCTAGGTTTTGTTAATTTAAGAATTTTGCTAAAGAATGCCACGAGATTATTATTTTTTGAGAGACTGGGCTGAACCACAGCACCACAGAGCTGCAAAAGCTAAGAACCTGTGAAGCCCTCTGGTTTGAAAGCTTGAAATGTACTGCTTGATCTGTTAAAAGGTCAGTTTATCTGTTTAAGTTCTGGCTCCCATAAATTCATCAGTCAAGCCAATTGTATTTTGACAAATGGGGGAAAATGGCTCATTGGGGAATGTTCCTGGAGGCTGCAAGGTCAGTACATCATTTAATTTTGCAGCGACACTATCAGATGTTTATCCTATTTCATCTCAGGTGGCTAGAGAACGTTTTTATGGTTTTACCAGAAGAGGTGCTCTCTGCTGCAATGGTGATTGAATCTCAAGTGCATACAGAATTAAAATGGGCTTTCTGTTAATTGGAAAGTAGCAGTAAAGGCCTTGTATCCTTTTCCCTTTACAGAGACATCAGTAAAAATGCCCACTTGGGCTTTAAGCCTTTCCTTTACTGGACCTTCCTGGGATTCGTTCATGCTTTTGTTTTCTTCTTTGGCTCATATATTCTGATGGGAGAAGACACTTCATTGCTGGGAAATGGCCAGGTAAGGTAGAATGCACACTTACGATAGAGAAATCACAATCACCTGTAATGTTTCTGGGAAGTTTATGTTCCATCAACTGCAAAATCACTTGTTAGGCATATTTAAACCATGGGTGTCTTAAGCTATTTAAATATGATTTTCTGTAGGCTTTGACCTCTCATGCAACCATTGTTATAAGTGTGCAAAAGCATATGGTGGCCTTCTAAACAAGAATAATGTGAGGGTACCTCCACATGGATAACGCAGAGATCTTGTTCTTGGGCTGCCCAGATCATAGCAGAGCATAATGGTCTTTGTGTTTATCATGTGGTGGTTAGTCCAGTCTCTTAATTCGAGTTGTTTGGAAATGTTAAAAATGCTGTTGGCTTGCCCAACTTGAGGATCACCATGTCAATGCACTCAGTGCCTTGATATGGTGGCGAATAACTCAAAATACTTTTACAGAGCACTTAACTGTGTTAATTGGGCTGACATATGTTCTCTCTAATCCTTACGGGGTGATTGCATTACTCTTTCCTGTATTGCAAATTGGATGTAGGCGGGTTGAGAGGTTGGGAATTACATTAAAGCTACCTGGCAAGTTTATGGGGGAAGAGCCATCGGAACAAGGACTTCTGGGTTTATAACTTAGTCACAACATTTCTTCCATTTAGCAGTGAAGGAGGCTTGTGTCTGCTTTCCTCCTTTTCTGTGCATGCATTGGATTGGGGAGTGGCAATTAGTGGTGACGTCCCGTAACAGAATTCAGCAACTTGGTTCTGTGCTATCCATGTCATTGCAGCAAAATTCACCTATTGCTGGCAACTGCCATAGCTGAACTAATTCAGTAGTCAGTTTGAGCCTCCAGGCGCTCCTTTTTCAGTTGCTTCCTAGGCCGTTCCTAGCCTGTCCACATTGAAAGTGAGACTGAGGGTTTTGATGGTCCACGTCTGCCACAATAAAAATCACTCCAGGGTACAGCTTGGCTTCACCCTGTCAAGCGATAAGGAGGAGTTTGGCCATGCATCAGCTGTGGCTAAATGCTTATTTGTGATGGGTCATAGTTGGACTGCAGGCAGAGTTTCTTTTCCCTCCCCATGAGATCCTTTTAACCAACCTGAAATCTGCGGTAGAATGGGACACAGTGGTTTCAACCAAGAATTTTGTCACGGTTGAAGCTAAGAGAGAATGTTTTTCTGTGAATGTCTCTGCCTCTCTCTCGCTCTCTCTCCTATCTATCTCCTCTGTCTCTCTTTCTAATTCATAGCTTTACTCTGTCATACTGTACTTCAATTTGATCTTTTAGTTTTCTCCCCCCCCCTTTTTTTCACGCTGTGCATGTCATCAGATGTTGAAATCTAACAGGCAAATGGTAAGAGTCTGTGTTGTAGGAAGAGCGATACAGAAATCAGCAGATACAGTGTCTTTGTATCTGTGGTAAAGAATGCAGCATGTATCCTCCATGAATACATTCAAAAATAAATGGTGGCAAGAGATTGTCTGTCTGTGTCTCACTTCAGGTGACAGCGACACCGTGTGATGGATAGACACTTTATGTGTTAAGTGTAATTTTACTCTAGAAGTACTTCTATATATTATAATCCTGGAATAGATGAAGAAACCCTTGTACTAAACCCAGTATTAAAGGACTATCTGTGTAAACAGACTGACAGTGTATTTCTTACAATGCTGAGCACAGAGTAGATGAGCATAACTGCTGCACAAGTGTGGGCTGCTTCTCTTCATCTCCCCCTCCAGAAAAATTGTTGCTGATTTTGGATGTTTACCATCATCTAGCGCTCCTCCGTGGAATAGTATCACCATAGCCACAAGCTGTTGGTCAGAAGTGCCTCCTGCTTGCTTGCTTGCTAGGGGGAGTCTTTGTGGACAAGTCGTCCATTAAGTGGTTTTTGGGTGGGGGTGGGACACAGGCCGCACTTTAAGTGAGCCCAGCAGTGCTCCTGGTTTTCAGTTTTTGGTAGCTCTCAAGAGAGTTTGCTGTACGATTCTTAGGGAGAAATTGGAAGGGCAAACCAAGAAATGGGGTGTGGGATAAATTTCCTCTTTAGGAGACTATGGTGTCTTCATATTGAGCATCTCAACAAATAGGCCTCATAGTTGCCGTGTGTTCCTTTCTTTAAAGCAGCTATTGTGTTGGGGCTGAAGACGCCCAGCCAGCAACTTCCATGTACTTGGTTTCCTCCAGTGTGTGGCTAAGGGGTGAAGTGAAGATCCCTTGCTTCTCTATAGGTTTCCATTGAATACAATTTAGTAGAATATTCTTTCCTTCCTTGTACATTTCTGGCTAGAGTCTTTCATTGTCTCCATTCTGGTAATCCTTGGAATGACCCGTGAGATGAAATGCATCTTCTCACACCTTCATCTAATATTCACAGCAATATTTTAAGACTTCATGGTCATTAAGGGTAGCAGTTAAAAATATGTGGTCAGATTTTGATAGCAGAGTCCAGGGAGTATATACCAAAACAACAAAAAAGCTATCTGGTTCAGATTTAAGATGGGAGGATGTGAATGATTACATACTTGGAGTGATTGCATTTATTGTAGCAGGAATACAAATACCAGAACTGATGGACATGTGCCTGAATTCTCTTAGTTCACACTGTTTCTTTCAGAAAAGTCTGCACAGCCTTGCTCTAAATTGTTGTACAGTTGATCCTTGAAATAAGTGCCCACCATTATTTTTGAGTTTTGCAGGCTCTGGTTTGCAAAATCTAAATGTGATGCTGCATTGAAAGGAAAATATCCCAACCCCAGTAATTAAAGACTACTCGCTTTCCCACTGCTGTAGAATTTTTCAGTAGCCGGGTGTTTACGTATAATTGGCTGTCTGGTGGGGATCTGAATGTTGTAACTCATACTCCTCTTCCCTGTTTTGCTTTGCACTTTCCCCTCTTGCCTTACTAAATAGTTAGCGTTTCGCATTTCTGTGCTTTCAGTAGAATTAGTTTGACCAGTGTAGTTGCATCACTTGTAGCTGCATTCACGGGGCGGGGGGGGGGGGGAGTTAAAGTAACTTTCATCTGCTTTAAACACACTGCACCTTGTTCTTTCTCCTTTCACAGATGTTTGGAAACTGGACATTTGGTACTCTGGTTTTCACGGTTATGGTTATAACAGTGACAATGAAGGTATAGTAACACAGTTGTGACTTTGCTATGCACGTTTAATTGTCTTAGATTTCCCTAACGGTTTAGAAAGCGAGGCTTTCACGCTCCTTTTCTAGCTTTTTCTTGAATGTTCAAGAACAACCAGATTTAGACGTAAACTAGGGCTGAACTGAATTAGTCATCTAACTTTTCACCATTTTTCATTTTCACATTGAAAATTTCACCTTTCAGTGAGGCCGAGAAAGTAGGCATCCTGTGTCAAATACATTTTTGGATTTGGGTTGTTTCAAAGGGATCTCCTTGGCTTTGGAGTTCTCAGGCAAACTTTAAAAGAATACACCAGTTGGAAAAATGGTGTAGTTCCCAGTGAACCCTAAGAGGAAGTACTGGAAGACTTCTTTAAAGGGAACTTGTTCTACCACCAGCCTAGGCCAAAAGGTGTCAACTTAGGAAAGAATCCCAGCGTTGCTTTTTTGCAACAACTCCACAGCCTTATGGTGAACCCCCATTAAAGAGTGGGGACCACTTTTATACTAATTAAATGTATTTTCTATTTGGTGATTATTATTTTTTGCCAACTTTGTTGTGTTCTTTTGCTTTCAGATGGCTTTAGAGACTCATTTCTGGACCTGGATAAACCATTTTGTTACCTGGGGTTCCATTGTCTTTTACTTTGTATTCTCCTTGTTCTATGGGGGAATTATCTGGTAAGTGTGTGTGTTTGCGTGCCAACAGAAGAGTCAGTATCTTGTGGTCTGTACTATGTGCAGGGGGTGGGAGGGGAACGTTTGCCATGAATGCAGTGAAGTGGATTGATGGGAATAAGTTAAGCGGAAGGTTTTAAAAGATCAGTGAGCAGAATGCAGGGTCACCGTACATATGCATGTGCCCAAGAAACTTGGATTGCTGTTACTGGCTCTTTCAAGTACTCCCCTGAGCAGGCAAGTCACAGCCCCATGGATCAAAAAATGGTGGGTAGTATTTCAGTGGTAAATCATCTAGATCAGCCTTTCTCAACCTGTGGGTCCCCAGATGTTGTTGAACTACAACTCCCATCACCCCTAGCTAGCAAGGCCAGAGCTCAGGGATGATGGGAGTTGTAGTCCAACTCTTCCATTCCTGGGTAAGGTGATTGAGAGAGCGGTTGCTGAACAGCTCGGTAGGTTTCTGGATGAAACATCTGCTCTGGATCCATTCCAGTCCGGCTTCCGCGCTGGGCATGGGACCGAGACGGCTCTGGTCGCCCTAACAGATGATCTCCGCAGGCAGCTGGATCGAGGCGGGTCGGGGCTGCTGATTCTTCTTGATCTGTCAGCAGCCTTTGACATGGTCGATCACGAACTTCTGGACCACCGCCTTGCCGACGTGGGGATCCAGGGCACAGTCCTTCAATGGCTGCGCTCGTTTCTCTCTGGTCGGGGACAGAGGGTGGCGCTTGGGGGGGAATTGTCATCGCGTCACTCCTTGGTGTGTGGAGTGCCTCAGGGTGCGATTCTCTCCCCAATGCTTTTTAACATCTTTATGCGCCCCCTCGCCCAGCTTGTCCGGAGTTTTGGGCTGGGTTGCCATCAGTATGCTGATGACACCCAACTCTATCTGTTGATGGATGGCCATCCTGACTCGGCCCCAGACACACTGACCAGATGTCTGGAAGCTGTGGCTGGATGGTTACGTGGGAGCCGGTTGAAGTTAAATCCTTCGAAGACAGAGGTCCTCTGGCTGGGGCGGGACGATATGGGATCGAGGGGGCAACTCCCATCTCTTGCGGGGGTGCAATTAGTGCCAGCACCGTCCGTTAAGAGTTTGGGTGTAATCTTCGATACCTCCCTCTCTATGGAGGCGCAGATTACAGCTATAACAAAGGCGGCATTTTTTCATCTCCGCCAAGCTAAGCAGTTAGCCCCTTATCTCTCTCGCCCTGATCTAGCCACTGTGATCCATGCGACGGTCACCTCCAGACTGGATTATTGTAACTCGCTCTACGTGGGGCTGCCCTTGAAACTGACCCAGAAACTCCAGCGGGTGCAGAATGCCGCGGCGAGACTCCTTATGGGGTCTTCGCTGCGAGATCACATTCATCCGGTACTATACCAGCTGCACTGGCTCCCGGTGGAGTACAGGATCAGGTTTAAGGTGCTGGTTTTAACCTTTAAAGCCCTATACGGCCTAGGACCCTCGTACCTACGGGACCGCCTCTCCTGGTATGCCCCACAGAGAAACCTACGGTCTGCAAATAACAACATCCTCAAGGTCCCAGGCCTCAGAGAGGTTAGGCTGGCCTCAACTAGAGCCAGGGCCTTCTCGGCGGCGGCTCCAATCTGGTGGAATGCTCTGTCACAAGAGACTAGGGCCCTGCGGGACCTGACATCTTTCCGCAGGGCCTGCAAGACAGAGTTGTTCCACCAGGCCTTTGGTCAGGGCGCAGCCTGACTCCCTCCTCTGGCAACCTGCACAGAATTTTGCCTAATCGGTTGCCAACAATTTGATTTTAATTAATTTTTATAATGGAATGTTTTTAGAATGTTTTTAGAATTTGACTGTTTGACTATTTGACTGTTGTTAGCCGCCCTGAGCCCGGCTTCGGCTGGGGAGGGCGGGATATAAATAAAATTTATTATTATTATTATTATCTGGGGGCCCACAGGTTGAGAACCGCTGATCTAGATGCTCTAGAACCAAGGAGTATCCCAGGACTTGAGTCAGTGAACACGCATACATCCCAACGGTGTGTTAGATAGCCATTCCCAAAATCTGCTCAAAAGACAAAAAAAGGAGTGATGACTGGTACCAGAAATTTTAAGCTACCCCTAGAAAATAGTATAAAATGTGAGTCTTCCGCTACTGGTGCCTTGCTGGGGTGTGGGATTCTGCATGCTTTTCTGTTTTAGCCAGTGATAAAAATTGATTTGTTCTTGTTCATTCATCTGTTTTCCTGTAACTTGTTCTTACTATTCCAGGCCATTTTTGCACACCCAAGACATGTACTTCGTATTTGTCCAGTTGCTCTCCAGTGGCTCTGCTTGGTTTGCCATAATCATCATAGTTGTCACTTGTTTGTTTTTCGATATTGTGAAAAAAGTACTGTACAGACACCTGCAGCCCACAAGTACAGAAAAAGCCCAGGTAACTTGCACCTACATGTGGTTTTTGTAACATTAAAAGAGGAGGCTTTACCAGGGAGACCCCCTGCAAGTCTGATGAACTTTTCTCTGCATATGAAACCTTTCCTGCAGTTCTTGGATGAATCACTGTGATGCTGCTGAGCATAAAATAGAAATGGAAGATTGTAAATGTTTTTTTTTTTCTTTTGTTAGTCTCTTGACTAGAATGGAAGTGAAAGTGTGGTTATTGCCAGGGATGGAAATTTTCAGTGATAAATATTCTTGCTTAAGGTCTTACGAATTCTTCCAGGTACAGTCTAGCTCACTTTACTTTTAGTCACAAGTGGATCACTGCAACTCCTCACTGATGATGATTTGATAATCCACATGATTACAGCATCAGGGGAACTACTTTCCCCACAGTTCTCAGCTTCTCTTGCATGCACAGAACCTTGGATCATAGTTCCTGTGCCTGGATCTGCCCCAGTATTTTCCCCTTGCCCCCAGGACATTGTCCAGAAAAGGCATGTGTATGTGATTATAATTCCTCAAGTAACGCCATGACAGAGCTGCAGCAATTATGGATCTGTTTTGGATGAGGTCAGACCCCAGGAAGCCTGGGCTCTATAATCTGCAATGGATCTGGGGAGATAGGAAAATGTCTAAAATTTGGTTTGTGAACCCAACACTCTGCATTTGTCAGATCACCAGATACTACACCAGGTTTCCTCTTGATCCTTGGCAGCCCAAAGTACTCTGTAATGGCCTCCCGCTATAGTGCTCCTGTCGTTCTGGGGCTGTGTTTCAGTGCTGTCAGTAGCCACTAGTTCCTGGTTCATGTTCCGTGGATTCCGGCATTTAAGTCATAGTGGGAGATCAGCCATTGCTGACATGGTAGCATGTCTTATAAATGTGCATCCTAAGCATTCATTCTGAGTCTCAGTTCAAGCTCAGGGAACTTCTTGGCTGGAGCCATTTGGGCAACAAATGTGCCCTTTCTATATACACACACGCACACATGTGTGCTAATATTGCCCGTTAACTATACAGATGCACTATTCTGCATTCAGCGGATGGCAGCTGAATGCACAGTAGATTCTTCCTTTCCCAGACAAGCAGAGCCAAGTATGAGAAGATGATGTAGAGGCAGCGCTTCCTCTGTGTACCGCCAAACAGTAGAAGGTCCTGTCTTCTAGTGAGTTACATGAGAGAACCCCTTCCCAGTAGCTTCTTCCTTCTTGAGCAGGCAGTAAATCACCTGCTGTAATACTCTGTGCTTGGCAGTCTCTGTGAGCCCTGCCTAGGCCTCTTACAAACTACTCCTGCTAGACATGACGCATGGAGAAGCATCATGGTGATTCGTATTAGGGTGAGGCTTGTGAAGGTTGGTCTCCTGCTGGTATTTCCCCATCCCTGGTTTTTGTGTGTGTGATTATTTGATAAACAGAACAATCCTCCTCTTACATTCAGGATGCCACAAAGTCTCAAACTGCGCCAGTGGCTATTCAGAATCTGTACTTAACAACTCTGTCTTCCACAATACAGCCCATTATAAACAATGCCTTCCTGAAGACCGGAGCATGTTGTGGCACAGTAACACTCTGTCCAATCAGAGTGACTTGTTTATTGCTTTGAATTGTAGGTCTGTAAGCCGCAGGAAGCCTCCTCCAGCACTTCCAATATCTGTAATTCATTTCTTATTTGTCTTGGAAGTAGGCTCCATATGCAACTAGCAGGGGGGGAAATCATTGGCTTGGATCCCGTAGAGCAGTGTTTCCCAAACGTGGGTCTCCAACTAGATATCCCATCACCCCTAGCTAGCAAGACCAGTAGTTAGGGACGATGGGAATTGTAGTCCCCAAACAGCTGGAGACCCACGTTTGGGAAATACTGCTGTGGGGGCTCCCAGTGTAAGAAAAGCAGGGAGACCCCAGTTCACTCTGCAGCTCTCTGCACCATCTTCCATGTTGTTTGTGGGGGAGTTCCTAACCCTCTGGGGCCGCTTTTCATAGGACACAGGGCTACAGGAGGAAAGAAGAATTGGCAAAAATTGCTTTTCTCCAGCAGGTATTCCCTATAAGCAGAACTCAGTTCACAGGAAGCCTGGATCCAGCCCAGGGTGTGTGAATCATTGTTTTATGCTTTAGGAATTCAGTTCCATTTAGATGTTTATTTTCCTCAGCTTAAACTTGGTAGGCGGTCCATTAACCACCAGTGGTGCTGTACAAGGGGCAGTTGCTAGGAAAGTCCAGTTCTATGTATTTCTTAAACACGACTGCCAACACAGCAGCTAATATCTGCATATAATTATCAGTGGTCTTTCAAGACCTCGAATGGTCCTCCAGCAATTTGTGATGCGTAGTTAATAAAATGTGATCTGTATTTTGTGCAATAATGGAATGTCTCCTTTGAGCTGCATCTGAAAACACCAGTCATATTTCCTTGAAATCAGCCTATTGAAATCAGTCTCATCCTTCCCAACCATACTGAGTCATGCCTTAAGACATGTTTAAAACAGTTATAAATGTGAGTTTAGTTAGCAAAATTCATTCCATGCATTTGGATTGTATCTCTAACTACTTTTTTGCAGGCAACCCTCTAATACAAAATACTTTCTCAGGAGGTGAAAATCAAACGTGGTCACTTTAGGGCAGTACTATTGTTTCTCCTAGCAGTCTTACACCTGCCATACTTTATGGCCCCACTTAACTCATCATGCAAGTGACTTGTTACATCTCAGTTTAATTGATCTTTATTTATTGTTTTTATTGAACTTTATTGTTAAATTTTCTAAACGACCTTTCTACAAAAATTATCCAAACATTGTGGTCAGAATGGACAACGGTGGGCCTCTCACAGAGGTAACAATCCTGTATCTGGACTACACCACATTAGACTGGGGTTTACCCCATACCTAGAAAACTGACACATCAGGGAGAAGACAGCTAGGCTAGAATCCTCCCGTTTGATGTGCTAGTCTGAGCCGTCTTCCATATAAACATCTTGCATATCCATCACCTCAGCCCCCACCTGTTTTCTGAATTGGTATAGCCCAGACACAGTTGATAACTCAAGTGACAACTAGTCCTGCATTTGAGAGCAGATTAGAGAATTCTCTGCTGATATTCACACCACTTAATGCATTATCTGAAATTCCTGTTTAATTTCATCAATTGTTAAGCTAGATTTATTTTACATGACTAAAGCTGGCATTTAAGATGCTATTTTCAGCTCAGAAAAGGAGGAAAAAAATATTTGGAACCGAGCACTGAACATTTAGCTGTGAAGGAGAATGCAATGAGACCCACATTGTGTCTCTTAAAAAACCCCTATGATTTTCATGTCAGTTTATGGCTAGGGAGTCAAAGTTGAAAGCGGACATCTAGCTTTCCGAAGTGACATTAAAACAGCCGAAGTGAATGTTTACTGTTCAGCTGCTTGTGTGATTTAACTATACAATTAGTCTTGTGCCACAACAAGAGTGCTTGAACCACACATCCCCTAACGATTTTTATAGCTTGCAGCTTTCATGCTTAAGTAATAAAGCATTAAATGTGTTTAGTGTTGATTTGCTGTGCGTGAGCGATGCCAGTAACTGATGAAAATATGAAATAAATAGTAGCTCCATTAATCATAAATGGCTTCAAATCCATCCTCTGTAGAGACAGGTCCCCTCACTTACAGTGTGCCTTGTTAACGTACTAATAGAAACACTCACCAACAATGGCATTTGAAAAAGCCTTAAATTAAAATTATGTGCTCCAGTTCCTATTAATGAAGAATAGTTCGTGGGAGTCTGCTAAGGGTGTGCTTTTTTCTGTTTCCCGTTTTGTGTGCCTGTAAAATGTTCCTTTTTGGCTCAAAGCCGCAGCTTCAGTTCACAGCAGCCAAGTTTGCAGGTGTCATTAAGCCAAACCGTGGCTTAGCTCATGCCCAATGGCTCCTTCCCTGGCTTTCTTGACCTCGTAGCTAAGCCATAGTTTGACTTAACATGCTGTCTGAACCTAAGATTGTGCTTAAAGTCACTCCTCCCTAACTATGTTCTGTAGCCAAGGTTTGTCCTTTGATTACAAATCATGGTCAAGGAGACAGAGGGGCCTTAACCATTATCCTTGGTTTGGACGACACGCTGAGTCAAACCTTTGCTTAGCTGCCATCCCACATTTGCTGGAAAAACCCCAAGGAGGAGGAAACTGGATTCAAGCTCCTCTCCAGGAGAGAGAGTGCGTGCATTTGTGTGGTCACAGTAAACTGTATTCTGGCTTACCATGATGTGCAAACCAGCCCATGGTTGCTGTGCAACCTCCTTCTCTTGGCTTTTGTACCAGAGCTTATGTAAAACTTTGTGGGAAGAAATGACCCACGGAGGAAACCTCTTAATTAAAAATATTGGTACAAACGATGGGATGCAAGTCAGGTTTTTGGTCCGCCTATCCCTATTTTCCACACCTCACCTACCACCCACATGACGGGAAGCTGAAAATGGGATGGCAAAGGCCAAAATGACATGGATGGTGTTAGAAATGGACCTGCTTGTATTAAATCCCCTGTGTGGAGGAACACTGGTTTGCAACAAGTTAAAAAGACAAACGCAGCCAGGAAGCCACGCAGGCTGAGCATATGTTCCCCGTAACTGACACAGCCGTGTGTTAATTCAGCGCAGTCCATTCTTAATTTACTGCGAACATAAGCTTTTCCTCTTCCTTTATCAAACCATTACGTACAGCCCATATTGGGCTAGGTGACGCGTGTTAACCATTCGGAAACCAGTGTCCCTGCGCTTATGTGCTCTGCCTACGAAATTAGTCCCTGCGTTTTGAAAAAAGATCTTTGCCTTTAAAGATCCTGTCCTGTGTCTGTCTTTTTATATATATATATATAAAGGTGACTGCTTCTCACTGACCTGTGTGTTCCATCCCTTCTTTGTCCACCTGTAGATGTACTCCAGCAGAGTTGCTTTAAGCGAGGAATGCATCGCACTGCAGCCATTGTCCAGGGCTCCGAGTCAGCTGAGCAAAATTA